GAAGTGGTGAAGGTTATCGGGCCCACTCAACACACGGTCGTTTGGTGTTAGCTCTTTTAATTAATATGATTTCCGATCCCATGCAGGCACAAGCTTTGGCAGGTAGCTAGTGTGAACCACTGGCAGCCTCGGGAACAGATGCCCTAGAGGCTTTCTTTGCGCTGCCACAGTCGGGCTTTTCTTGAAGCAGCGACACAGCTGGATTTCTCCTTTCAGTGCTCACATTCCTCTATTAGACAGCGTGGGGGGTTGGAGTGCAAATACCTAAACTAACAAATTAGCTTAATGCTCTTGTGCATTTTTGGAAAAAAATAAAAAGTATTAGAAATTTAATATTTTTAAATGCATTATTGCTGTAGGATGAAAAATTTAAGATGGAAGTTCATTTTGTTGAAAACATTACCTTACAAACTGAAGTGCTACCTTAGTGTATTTTAGCAGCTTAATTATCTGTAATTCTAGCCAAATCTCTAGAACCATGAGAATAACTGTTCTGACACGTTGCAAAGGTTACGGTAGGGAGGCAGGGCCTCTCTCTCAGCCCCAGAGATAAGTACGTTTCAAACTCTCTCATCTTCCTTTTTTTATGTAGGAAAAGCAACTGGAGAATGTAGCCTGTGACAGTCACAGGAAAATGTAATTGGCTTTTATCAGTACGATCTTAAAAGTTGTAATAGGCTGTCAAAGTTGTAATAGACTGTTTCTCTTGGAGGTGAAAACTTGAGAATTAGAACAACTAAGCAAATTAAATAAGAATGACCAGGCTTCAGAAGCAATTTTGAATATCAGAACATTAAAGAAGTATCCATTTTCAAAATTTCTACTGGTAAACCCCCTTCCCTTCACTGCACCCAGACCTGGCATTTTCATTTGCTGTGGGAGACCATTTTCCCCAGTACAACATCTGTCCCCTGCATTGCTTCATTCCAGCTAGCAAAAATGGCAAATGTGCTTCCACAAAAGGACCCGTCAGGCTGCTCTTCGCCTCCTTGGATAACAGCAGCGAAGAGTTTGGGATTTTGTGAGAGCACTTTTTCAGCTCTTCTTAGAGGTAGTGAAAATTAAGCTGGGCAGCTGTCCCTGCTACAGGGTGACCCATCACCTGGGTTTATCCTTTCCGGGGATGGCTTTCTTTGTGAAGGGCATAAGTG